GGAGCAAGCAAAGGCATTCACGCAGCCTTCAACCACAGCGCGAAGCAGAGTAGGGGGTATGCAAATAAATGAGCGAAGGAAAAAGACGCTGGTAGGCAATTAAACAAATGGTTGCCCAACCGGATAGCAGCGAAACGAGCGACCAAACAAACATGAGAGCAGGCGCCAAGCAACAAAGCCCCGGCAGCTCCGATACCGCGTGTTGAAGTTTTTTTGCTCACACAGCCACCCAAGAGGCTCTCCTCAAGGAAAAGTGTATACGACAAACGAGGCTGGCTGTAAGCCCCTTGGGTCCCACAAGGTATGAGCGAGTACAATGCATAAAGGCTCTAAAGGGCTTTGGAGGCATGTGAATGCAATCGTGTATCCGAGGGTATAGGCCCCAAGTGCTTTTGTCTGCGGTCTGTTCGTACCTGCTAGATCGACAAGCTTCATGAAGTCTTCGACTTCATCTTCTTTGAGGAACATTTCAACAAATGATCTGGTGAAGTACTCAGGCATATTTCGCTTGAAGGCGCGGCGTCGCCTTGTGACAGGGAAATAATCTTCTTCACCAGCACTGTTGGGGTCGAGAAGGCGCCGCGAGGCCCCCGGAGGGCCACCGCGTTCTCCGCTAGTGGTTGATGTGGCTCCGAGGTGACAGTCAGAGGCGCTGGGGGAGGTCTTTGAGAAGAAACAACTGCTGGCGTAATCGTCAAAGAATGAAGAATTGGTGGTAGTGTTTACGGCCCCTAGAACCTCTGAAGTCACGTTCTGCCTGTCGCCGCTTGGCCCCTCCTCCTCCGAATCCCCGTCTCCTGGCTTCCCTTCCATTGTGCGCATATCTTGCTCCATCATATTTTCACCGGAAGAGGAAGAACTAAGTGAGGGCCCACTTTCTAGACTCAAACTTTGCTGGTACGGAGGAGCCGACGGGCAAGAGGTTCTCCACAACTCCTTACCCTCCGAACTTCCCTGAATACGTGTTAAGCTGTTGACTCTGTGGGCGGCAGGCCGCAGTGGAGGCTGTGATATCGGTGCAGCTGTTGTCATCTCAACGCCTTCTTTATCCCTGCTGTCCATTCTACCTCCCCTCGCCCCAACACACTCGCTGGCGGAGGCAGATGCATAGGCCCCTACGTCCTGAGACTCCTGGGTGCACTGCTCGGGAGCCGAGGGCGCATGGGGCCTTGTGGAGGCATCTGGAGCGCACGTAGTCTCCCGGGGAAAGGGAATGCCTTGCTGTGTGTCAGGCGCGAAGTGAGGGCCCTGAAGAGGAATAGCATGCAGCAGGAGGGAGGACAAAGTGGCGAGAAAGGGCCCTTTGGATTCAAGAGCAATGCAACAGCAGGAGATGGGAAGAAGAAGTGTAAAAGTTGGGATAAATAGGATAAATGCAAAGACTACATCAGGTGCGGTGCATGGCATAAACGGGTACCGGCAGACACTGAAACATGCAGGCCCCCGGCCCCTCATTATCGCATAAAGGTCGTGGTGTGGGCTGTAAACCACCAAGTCAAGATAACAAACTGCAGCGCAACTACTTGCCTGAGGATCTCCTTTCTGTTCGTCATCTAGTGAAGGGGCCCTGATTGCAATATTAAACGACGTCAGGGTTGCAATGTGCTGCGTATTCCCTCGCCGTGCCGCCTCTGAGAATATGATCAGGAAACACACGGCACACAGCGGATACGCCCCCCTCTACAGGTGTACGTACACTTAGAACATTCAGTCAAAGTACAACTCGGAAGGTTAACACACGTACAAATTCCCGTCTGGGGGCATCGATATATTGGAGTTGCAGATGCATTAGAAGTTAAACAGCGTGTAAGCCAGGCACGAGCACCATCCGCTCGTGTGCTTCTCCTACGTCTGCATCCTTAGCCTCCAACACTACAGTGTTC